GGGGGGGGGGGGGGTGCATTTTTTTCTGCAGCTTCTCACCAGCTATTCTGAATTTTATTTCTGATAATCCATCGAAAGCATTTCTTTAATTACAAAATGAAACAATGAAGCAAAAAACTATTTTTTTTTCTTACAGGGTTTCACTTGACTTAACTGTCCCTCAATAGGTAGAGGTTACCCCTAGTTTAGGAGCTGCCTAACTGCAATAACAACACTATGGAACCTCTACTTTCAACTAAACCCTTTTGTGCTCTGGTCAGATGGGGCATTTGGTTAGAGAAAGATAGTTTCTCTCTTTTAACAACCCCTATTACTCTGTGGTGACCATTTCATGAGTGCACCCTGTAGTAAATGTTCTCTGGACTAAAGACACAGGGACTACAGCTCTATATAACTCTACAAAGGCTCACAGTGCAGGCATGGCCCATGGTGAAAGGCTGCAAACATCATAACAGACTAAAGGTGCCCATACACTGTGTTTAATTTCGGCTGGTTTTTAATATACTTGCTGAAATTCTCACAGTGTGTGGGGCTGTTGTCTCCCCCCTGCATTTCTCGATCAGCTGATCAAAGGAGTCGACTGGAAAATCTTTGCGTGATCAGAGCCGGCAGCCTCTGATCGGGTATTCTGACCGGTGACGGCGGCACCTGTCAGAATACAATGCAAACTGCGGCAATTCCTCAATCAACACGCTGTGTGTGTTGCTGGAGGATTCATGTCATGGCCAGCCTTAAGCTGTACTACTAAGATAGGTAGGGTGGTCTCGAGTAGTTTAATTAAAGGTACTATTGTCCTTTAAATTGAACTTGGTAAAAACCTGTCTATAAACCATTACATTTTCTCTTTTAAATATCCAACATTTTGGACAGCAAAACTATATTAATAATAATAGAATTTATTTATAATGATAATGATAAACGAAAATAATCTGTTACTTGCATACTTTGTGAATTTTTGCATGTCTAAACAATCTTTTGTAGGTAATAAATTCTCTCATAGCCCCTAATGCTTCATAATAACAAAGTAACCAGGACTGGAAGAGGCAATAAATAAGGATGTGTGTGGGAGAAGAAAAATATTCTGAAGCTGGGAATCACTAGCCTAACAGACTTGACAGACAGCAAGGGCTAATTATACCCGTCTAAGCACCAAACTGCACATCATTGTGAGCGCATTTGCATCTAAAGTCAGCAAAGTTTATATAAAGTATGTCAGTAACATTAAACATAAAGAGAAACTTAAGTGTAAACCCTGCATCAGGAGATTACTAAACATAAGACAGTGAGTAGTACTACAGATTCTTGTGCGTTTGAGCCTAAAATATTTGAAGTACACCTGTCAGTAGCCTAAAGTTGAATAATTCATCTTATGAAAAAAAAATCAAGTATGTAGCGGTGACCATAACTAAAGCCCATGTATTTATCATAAAATCCATTTCTTAAAAGGACACAGGATCAGATTTAAATCAGAGACAATTGGGTTTTACTGCTGCCTAAAGGAGGACATGAATGCTGGCAAACAAATAAGCCATGGGCCAGCCAATCCCATCATGCTTCAGTTTTGTAGTAAGCAATTTGAGGAGTAGATCACAAACACTGAGAGGTGGGACCCATGTACCTTAATTAACTAAAAAAAATGATTTTTCGGTAAGTACAAAATCCTTTTTTCTTTATTGTTCATTAAGGGACACGGGATCAGAAGGAAATCAGAGACAATTGGGATATCAAAAAGCAGTCCAACTGAAGGGTAGGCAACATAGCAAACAAAAACACTAACAAGCTCACAGAACAACAATGTAAGAGCTTGGACGAGCCTGCAACTCAAAGAGCTACTCTTGTAGGACCTTATTTCCAAATCTTGCATCAGCTTAGGCCTGAATATTCACGGGATAAAGCTTAGAGAACATGTGAACAGAAGACCAGGTGATGGTTTTGCAAATGTGAGAAGAAATGCCTAATGCCATGGCCCAAGAAGCACTTACTGATCTAGCAGAGTGTGCCTTGCCAGGAAAGGGTGGAACTTTCCATAAGCCTATAGGCTTGTATAGTGATCTGCCAGAGCCACCAAGAAATTACGGGGAATCTCAGGAATAACAAAAAGTGAATCAGTGTTCTTGAAGGAAGTTGTAGCTGTAAGATAAGCATAAACAGCTCCAAGAAATAAAATAAATCTCCTGTAGATGCACAGGGGCCAGACAGAGGGATGGAAGTACAATGTCCTGCTTAAAGAGGAACTCCAGGAATTTATTGTATTAACCCTTGCAGTGGGGCTACACCTGCACTGCAATGGTTAACTGCTTGTTTGTGTCTAGGTTTAGAAAAAAAGGTTATACTCACCCAAAGCTCTGAGCTGACTTCTTATTAGTACAGTCCTTTCAATGTCTCTCCCCCTCCTCAGCAGCGGCCTGTAAATCATCACATCTATACGCAGTGTATAGACATGAGGATGCTGCAGATTTTAATGCTGCATGGAGAGGAAACAGACAGGAGGGAGCACGGTGACAGCTGGCCGGCTCGGAGCTTCGGGTGAGTAGCTCCCACAGACACAAATGGGCGCTTAACCCTTGCAATGCCGGGGTAGCCCCACTGCAAGGGTTAATGAAAAAAATTGAGGTTTTTTTTAAGGTGAAAGAAATAAATCTCCCTAGGGAGAAAAGAGGGTCTGGGCCATTAAGACAACCTTGTCTTTGTATAAAATAAGAAAAGGTTCTTGTACAAGACAAAGTTTTTAGTTTAGAAATGTGCCTTGCAGAGGTAATAGAAATTAGGAAGGCAACTAGGTGAGTGAGAGTTGACAGGGAAACATCCCTAATAGGTTCAAATGTCTTTCTTTGAAGAACTAACAGACCCAAGTTAAGATCCCCTGGAGTCACTGGAGGATGTACAGGTGGGACTATATGAGTGACACCTTGTGCAAAGGCTTTTACCAAGAAATGAGAGGCAATCAGTCTTTGAAACAGGATCGCAAGTGCTGAGATTTGTCCCTTGATGGTATTAAGGGCCAAATGTTGACCCAGGCTCGATTTCAAAAAGGTCAGAATCCTTCCCTAGGAAAATTTCTAGGGACAACATTTTCTTGCTTTGACTAAGAAAGTGAGGTAAAACTGTGTGACACTGAAAGTAGAGCAGTGGCAGGATGACTACCTTAAGCTGAAAAGGTGGGAAGAGATAGTGCTCAGCAGGGTTCATGTGACCGCCTTAAAGGCAGTGCCAAGGATTAGCCAATCTGGATAGCAGCACAAGAGCTCAGCTCAGAAACAGAATGATGAAGACTAGTTGAAGTAAAAAACTTGTTAAAAAATAAAAATGTCCAGTAAAAATCCAGGTTTTTTGTCTTATTTCCCAGTGTCAAATTCCTCTTTTAGGTAGCAGTATACACCAGATGTCTCTGATTTACTTCTGATCCTGTGTCCCTTAATGAGCAATAAAGAAAAGTCAATTCCAGAACCTTCCTGGTGAAGTCTAGAGCTGGTCCACCCTATGCTACTTCTCAACTGACAGCTCTCAATTAGAAAGTTTTTAAACTTGCATATTAGAGCCATAACTGGGGTAGCTGTTTATACATTTGAAGTAATGTCTTTGTTTTATTCATGTAATCAGTTTAGCAGATTTGATCACAAAAATGTAAAATGTATGTTTAGTTTCATATCAGGTAGTTCAGGGGTATTTACACTGAGCGACATGCAACTCGTGCGGACTTTCGCGCCATAGTAGTAGTGCGATATTTCACGCAATGATCGCACGACCTTCCGTATTGGGCTGCATGAAAATACAAGCAAAATCGCACGACATCTGTGCAAAAAAGGGTCCGGCACAAGCGACGAGCATCGAGCTACAGGCGACATTGAGCTGTAGAATTGAACAGCTCCATTGAAAATCATTGGACGAGCGAGATCTCGCGATATGGCGTGGCAATATGCGCGATTTTCGAGCGGAAATCCGCGCGGTAATCCGCTCCATGTGAACGGGGACTAAGGCAAAGGTCCCATCAGAAACCAGTGAAAGTACAAATCAGAGAGAATGAAAGGAAATGGGTAGACTATACTTTTCAGCAAGATCCAGACTGCACTGCACTGGAATGTCCAGGGTTCTAGAAGGAGGGGATAGTCCCAGAAATGGCAGTTGCCAATAAGTCCTGGAACACCATCAAAAGAATTTAAAAAAAATAAATTTTGCCCCATGCACCAAAATTGTAATAAAGGGAACTAGATCAAAGTTCAGTATGTAATAAAACAGATATCTCAAATTTGCAATCCATTTGATAAAGTGTAATTTAAATATACATCAAAAACCAGTACCATTCACTTTACCTTAAAGTTCTTCTGATATGTTTTGTACTGAAATGCATTTTTCTGTAATTCATCCAAAATTATTTGCAAGTCTGCAAGTATTTGTTTAATTTTGGTTTGATCAGCAGCAATATCCAATATCTGAGGGTCCTGTAAAATACATCACATACATTTAAGACTCTTTGACTTGAATCACAGGGATGCATTCATGTTGTCATAGTGATAAGTTAATTACTGAATAACAATATGCTTCTTAACTTTTAACTGTATGGAGCAATGATACTTTCATTCACTGGATCAAAATTTCAGTTACGTTAACATAACGTTAACATAGTTTTTGTGTTTTTTAGCATTTAAAGAAAATATTCCATTCTACAATAATATAGTCCAGGTAAAACCGAATTTCAGGCACAACAAATCTTTGATAATTAGTTAGCTATTGCCATACCTGTACATATCATGGCTTGTTTTCAAATGTTGATATATAGGTGGCCTTTTTTTCCCTGAATAGGCTCCTATTTTATGTGAAGGTGACCAGTGGGGAGAGAACAAGCAGAATGGCAGATGGGTGCAGCAATGTTGGTGGTGAAAGGGCAGAAGAGAACTCTCCTATCATTGCTGCAGCAGCGGCAGTGTGATAGGGTGCACCTACCTGCACAGATAGACATGTAGGGTCTAGTAGGGCAGAAAATTAAAAAATATCTCCATGAAGGAGACATGTAAGTCTACAGATATTTTTATATGGTTTCTTTTTTATATGGATTCTTTTTAGTGTACCCAGAGTTCAGCTTCAACATATATCTTAATTCAGCTGATTTATTGTTGCTTTTTCCCCTCTTTTTTTTTTGTGTGTTTATGGCAATACAAGTGAATTATTGTTAGTTAGCGGGAAGCATAAAAATATTTAGTCAATATGAATGCAAAAATGAAATATCTCAGCTTATTTAATTAAAACTTGGTTATTCCTACCTGTGACTGCTGCCTGACATCCTTCACTTCTTTATTTAGTTCTACAATGTCTTTATCCAAAGAACGACAGAATTTCTCAATGCTGCCATCTCTCTCACCAACTGACTTGTCAATGGCATTTCGAACGGCCATGAATGAAGGTTTCAGCGTAGCAAACACTGCAAAATCTTCTGGAGGTGTAGGAACATGATAGCTTTCAATGAGCTGATACATCTGTGAGACAACATTTGACTCTTCTTCAAGAACATCAACCTATCAGAGGAATATCAGTCAGTCATGGGTTTTTATATAAAAAGCAAACATGCGATGTACAAGGCGGCAATGCTAGACAAAAAGAAAATGCATTCTACATTTCATTTAAAATGTATAACTTAAATTAAATGAATGGGTGATGTAACCATAAAACTACTTTCTTTCTATGAAACTACATGTTTCCTATCTTTGTGTGCACCCTTGCTGTCAATGCCAATTTTCAGCAGAAGAAATATTTGTCCTATGTGTTTTGATCTGTATAGTTTTTTTTTTTTAAACTGAAATTTTTAGACAAACAGGTAATACAGTAGATATCAGCTTTGTGTAAATATTGTATATATTCATTCATCCTAATGTTTTATAAACGTTGTTCCTAAGTATATGCATTATATTGTATATGTATGTGTGGCACAAATCATATTTAGTCATTACATAAACAAGATCGGCTTCCTCCTTTCCAGTATCATACAATCATAATACCTTACTGCTTCTTCTTACAATGCAGATCTATGAGTCGGATGACTGACTGAAAACAATGCACTTCCTGTGCAGCCGCAATCTTATCTCAACAGTTGTTAAACAGCATGTTATTCATTTTCTTATTTCACATTTTTTTTATTAATGTTTCCAATGACATTTACATGCAGGCCAAGCTGTCCAGCAAAAGTGTCAGGGCTTGTTCACACCAATTGTGGTGCGTTCCAGAGCGGTAGCTGCTGGAACGCACCGCAATCGCTCACAAAACTTCCCCCTGCGTTCTGGGGCGTGACGGTGCATTAAAGTTAATGGCACCGCAGCCACACACACCCCCTAGCCCGCAGTGTGATCGGATGCGTGGCAAAACATTGGCTGCGTTCCGGGCCACTGCAAAACGCAAAAAATAGAGCAAGCAGCATTTTTTGCTTTTGCAGTGGAACGGAACGCAAGCAATGTTTTGCCACGCATCCGATCGCACTGCGGGCAGGGGAGCGTGGCTTTGGTGCCATTGACTTCGATGCACCGCCACGCCCCCGAACGCAGGGGGACGTTTTGTGAGCGAATACGGACAGTGTGAACAAGTCCTCAGTGACGTGTTGGGGAAAACTATAAAACTCACAGGAATGATTATAACATTAACCTTTCATTTTCATTGTTTAAATATTGTTGCTGCATCCGGCAGTGATACGTTTATCCCAAACCCTGTTAATTACATTTTTGCAGGACATCTTGGTTTGCATGAAAACGTTTTCTTATAGAGTATAACAGTGTAACATAATTGAGACCTGTAGTAAGAAGTAATGTAAATAATTATAGGATATGTTTAATAATGGTTTCTTATGTGCTGGAAGACAGGTGTGTTAGCACCATGGGTTCGGGCAGTTGACAGGACAGAAACAGAAAGACCCAAGGGGACCGCTCACCTCTTTTAGTCCCAAGATTCAATCACAGATAAACTAAATAAAGCCATTTAAAGTGTATCTCTAAGCAAAACTTTTTTTTGTTATGGATAAAATAGGAAAGGGTTTGACTCTCTGTCAAGTCTTTATTGCTGTCTGTGTCCCTGTTGGGGACATTCACCCTCAATGATTACTGAGGACCATTGTCACAGAGAAAAAAAGAGAGGGGAAATCCAAAATTGTAGAACTGTCTCCAGAGCAAGAGGGGAAGAGAAATCGTCCAATGGGGGACACCTGTTCTAAGGACAACTTTCTAAGAGGGGAATATCCCTTATTTTGGGAGATTTAATCTAACTTCCTGTTGTGTTTCTGGGACAAGAAGAGAAGGCACATTTTCCTAATGGTAACATACAGCAAAAAAAAAACCCATACAGGGGTTTTGAGCCTTGACAAAATGTTTTGGCTATATACTTTAAGGGACACATGACTTATTATAACTGTTTCACTTTCAGGTAGAGGTAGACACTAATAGGACAAAACAAAAACTGCATTTTTATTTTTCTCAAAGACTGTGGCTGACATCCATCTGCGGGAGTTTCCAACTATACTCTTCCAGCCATAAGTTTCAATCCTTTTATCATTTTAGGAGGCGGATAACATATACAGTACATTATAGCTTTATAAATAGACCCATTAGTTAGTCTCTGTTTAGATATAAGTTGATTGTTCTGCTGTATGAAGTAATATGTTTAAATGAAAACATACACTTCCCATCAGAAACCATATATAATGACACCTAAACCCGACTCTTTTCTGTTTGGGATGGGTTTTAAATGTACTTACCCGTTCTTGAATTTCATCCAAGAAAGTCAAAGAATTTACATAATCTAGTGTTGTAGTAGGAAAAAATTCAAGTTTGAACTGGGCATCTTGAGCTTCAGCTATGATGGCATCCATCTTTTTCTTAGCCAGAACAGGTAAGATCTCGTTAATCGCCTGAAAAACAGAAGGGTATATTCAAAAATCAGTATAGGGGAATCCAAGCAAACTGTGGTAGTCAATAAAAGGCAAAAATTCTCTTTTACAGCATCCCTGCAACTTGCATGGGTGTAACCAAAGGGAGTGTTGAGGGTGCAAATGGCCCTGAGTCAATGAGGTCAGGGGACCCAAACACAACTGCCATTTCCCTTTATTTAGAATCTGTAAGACATCTTTTTACATCTGTTTTTACATTTGTTTGTGCCAGAAAAGCTTTTCTCCCTATGCATGCTTTTCTCACTATGAGCTTACAAAAACAGCTCAATAGGAGATCAAGAGCAGTTTAGAGGAACTGGAAATGAATGCACCTGCATTTGCAGTCTACATAAGTCCTTCAAAAAGTTGAAAAAGAGCATATTTTACCCAGTAGAATCCCAGAGTTCTGCATGGAAGTTGAACATTTTTGGATGAAATATTAGAGCACACTAGTTCACATTCTGAACAAGGGCCATTGGCCTTTTGTTCTGCCTCTGCACAATCACATGGCAACTTAGCATGTGCTTCCATTCAAGACCTTTACTGTTCTGAAACTGCAACATGTATTCTTACCTCCAAGCATCTTTTTGGAGAAGGTATTAATTTATCTTTCAATTTTTTGGCATCTATGAACAATAATCCTAGATTTCTCTTCTGTGTGATTGCCATAGCATCCCCATGTTCTTTATGGTATTTCTTCAGCTGTTCTGCAAAGAAATCAACTCCTACATGGAAATAAAACAGGCAGTTCTTAACCTTGACTGGCAAGGATATAAAACACACACAGTAGCACAACAGTATAACAACTGTGCAACCCAAAACAGTTTATCCAGGTGTCAAAAGTAATGCACATGTATTCCAGACTCTTATATCAGATTATTCTGAAGACCTTTAGTATGACATAGTGTTCATTACAGAATAAATCAGTGCTCTGTATAGTATGATCAACTTTAAGGTGGGGGCCACAAAGTGGTCCTGCTTTGCACCCTGTCATTTATAGTTACATCTCCGGTAACCAGAGACAGTGCCATGTTTGTAATCATGAATAGCTTTTGTTACAAGCAACACAACTCATGAAAGCCTTAACAGAACCTATTAAAACAAATGATGATTGTATTGGTTGCATTGACCAACATAATTCTAACTGCAGGTAACATTAGACAAATTACAGTCTTTCTGCCAAACTGCATACAAAAAACACCACATAGGACAATTGGTCCCAAGTGCATTTAAGATCCATTGAAGGTATTTTCCAGTGTTCTTTTATTGTACCCTTTTTCCTAGGAGGAGTTCCAGTTCACTTCCGCAGCCTACGCTTCTGCTGTAGCAGTAACTATACATTATAACTCAGCTTTTCGAAGTCTGTGTTATTATGGAACAATATGGCAGCTGAGTGAACAACCGACCCCAAGTGAAGTGAGCCGAACACCGTTCGGCTATTCACTTCAGGCTTGTACGGCTGATCTCAGCCGTATATCAGCTGAAATCAGCCGTACATCGGCTTGCTTCGCATGGCTTCGGGTCGGCCGAACATGCTCAGCATGTTCAGCTGACCTGAAGTGCAGAAGGAGTTCGACTCAGCCGATTCAACATCTGGATCGCGTGAGCCGAACTTCTGGCAGGCTACTCACTGCTTTTCGGCCTATTCTTATAGATGCCGAACAGCAGTGAGTGAATAGCCGAATGCCGCTGAGCGGCATTTGGCTCGGCTGTTCTGCTCGGTCCCTCAGAGGGACCGAGCAGAACAGAAAAATAGTTTAAAAAGTTAAAAATAAGTAAATAGAAAACGATTGTGTGGAGCTAGCAATGACAGCTAGCTCCGCCCAACAGTTTTCTAATGTCCGGCGGTTCTGCTGCCATAAAAAAAATAAAAAAATCTCCCAGGCGCTCTGGGAGCCTTCCGCTCCCGGCCGCCCAGGAGAGAAACACTGATTTATCTTTTTTTTTCTTTATTCTGACACGGAGCCGTGTCAGAATAGAAAAAAAAATGTTTTTGCCCATTGGAATGCATTGCTAGATTCCTATTGGCTATTTCAATTTGCAATAGCCAATAGTAAACTAGCATTGTACCTGCCCTCTGCTGATGGACCTGATGGAGAACTGCAGCAGAGGGCGGGTACAATGCTAGTTTACTATTGGCTATTGCAAATTGAAGCTACAAATCGGCCGAAGCTACGGCTAGATCCTTCGGCAGCTTCGTGAATAGACAAATAGTGTTGAGCAGATCATTTTGTCCAAATCTTACCACTTCACTCTGTGTTGGAAGATTAGTATTCTAACCAGCAAATGAGTGGGCATATGGGAATCTGCAATATATATAATGATGGAATGCCACATGGGTTTATGGGTGCAGCACACCATCATCACATAATTGCACTTATTTGGGCTGTTGCACAGGTAACCTAAGGGCAAGTGTAAAGTACACTCTTAAGGCCATATATTCTGGCACAAGTAGCTGAAGTACATGTTGTCCAACATGAAAGTGAATATACGCATGGATGTAAGGGGTTGATACGTGTAACTGATTAATCACCCCTGAATATTTGCAACAATATGGCATTTTGCAACTTATAGCCAATTCTTCCTTTCAGAATGGACAATAAAACAAAGCTTTCACAATTCATCAATACATATTGAAATAAATCATACAGATATCAATGAATCCTGGTGGATTGAAGGATGAGCAGATGCCTCTTCACCCATCATTCATGATGAGGTATTATATGAGGTATCTATGGCCATCGTAATGCTTTCTTATTATGAGGGTATAAAAGAGTTTTGGTCATAATGTATTACATATGTTGCCTTGAAGATGAACAGTCAAGCAGTGCATAAAGCAAGAAAGAAATAGTGACATATAAACAGAAAAACCAAATCATACCATGGTCTTCAGCCTTTAACGCTTTCAAATCTAGACTTTCATTTTCCTTAAAGAACAAATGAAACCGTTCAAATGTTCTTGCATATACACTGGCTGTATCGAATGCAGACTGTATAGTTTCCTAGGATACACAGAAAATATATAATTACATTTTCATGAGTAAAGAATGCTGTTGCTTCTAGCCAGCCATTTCAGATGACACACTCTTACAAGACTCTAGAATATAAACAAAGCAAGAGGTTATGTTCACATGCTACATCCATCCCCTAATATTTCTTTCCAATACAACATATTTAGGATTCGGTCATGCTTAAAATATTCTTGCTTTGCTGCCAGTGCTATTACGTTATGAAATGACATTTTTCTCAATAACTAAGGTTTTCACTAAATATAAATCATTGTGCTGCACAGATGTGAAGTATTATCATTCAACTTCAAGTATCCATGGTTATTATTACTTAAATGAAAAATAGGTTTAAGGATAATAACGCTGTACTCTTTATAAAAGGCCTGGCAAAAAATATTGTGAATACATTTTGGTCTCATTTGCCTCAGGCCAAATATGAACTCCATACGACATACACATACTACACATGTCCACTCAAACTGCTCTCCTTTCCCACAAAATACACTCCTACTGCATCACCAAATAACAATGCTTCAATGTGGTAGTGGATTGTTTCAATTTCTTCTCAATTCCTATCCCTTTTTCTGCCACCCAAAGACATAAGGTTTGCTTTAAGCTGTGGGAACTGTTGTCTTCATCCATCTACATGCCATCTTGTTTATCCTACCCCACCGTGTGTTGTCAGAAATTAGTGCTGATATTTAGTTCAGTTTGAAACCTTGTTTTTTGTGCATGCCGTGTATCTGACCAGTAGTATACAGACTACATAGGACAAAAGACAAATGAATAGCGAAGTAAAATTGTTGCCAGACCCAGAAGACATACCTACCAACTCTGCCTTTTTTGAGAAAAACATGTGATTTAGCAAAAACAGGGCACTCAAACACGAGTGGATCAAACCAAAGGTGTGAAGTAATTTAAAGTGTTAAGCCACTATAAAGTGATATTTTAACTATAGATGGAGCCTGGAGGGCTGAATTAGCCCCTGAGTTCTTATATGTCTTGGACAATTTAACAGTTAGATCTCCCTGCCATAATTCCTGTTGACCTGGGAGCTTTGGTTGTTCCAGCCAATCTTTGCATATTTCAGAACCTCTGGTTACATTAAAGATAATATATAATACAAATCTATGAAATAGAGTGTGACCCTCACCAGTAGTCCCTAAGAGAAGAAACTAAACTGTTAGCTGCCTTTACTTTCCAGCATCTCCTGCCAGTTTACTGTGAACATATCTTGTTTTTTTAAGGAACACTAAGACATTGGGGTTGAGTCAATATTGGCAATTGGTTTACACACGATTGGATGATGGAAGTCAGCAAAGCTTTAACTCATTTACTAACCTAAGAAAACATTCCCTTGCAGAGTGAACACCCTATTTGCCTTTAGTAAATCAAATCCATTATGAAAATGATGTATGTTTAAATATTTAAAGAGAATTGAAATGTCAGTGTCACTTAAAAACATAAGCAACAACTTGGTTGACTTTACTGTATTGTATTAGGGTCTTAGTTTCTAACATAGCCAATATAGGAAGTTAGGCTAAATAAGAATGTTATAATTACTATATCCTTTGGTATATCTTAATTTATTATTTTTTTGGACAAATATAAATAAATGCTTGAGCATGATTACATCATTTGTGCCAAAGTGGACCAGGAAGTGCAAATAAATAGATTGTAAGTAAAATAAAAATATGTTTGTTTAGCGAATAAATGTAAGATGATTCCATATCAGCATGCAGAGCTGTATGCTGATGTGATTTTTAGTCAAAGGGGGTAAAGGTCTGCTTTAAACGCTCCCCTTCCCAGCAGCAAATACTTACCCTTCCTACACTTTTCCTCTGCTCTGTTTAGGCCCGGGGAGTAAGAAAAGAAAACCCTGTGTAAGCAGGGCCAATCACCAAGCACTAGTGCTATTACATGAGAGTGTGTTATTAAATTCAATTAGAAGCCAGACTCGGAAAAGGCTAGAGCATACTTAATTTGTTTCTAGAAATCATTTGTTGAATATTCATTTAGTTATATGCTGTGATAAGCTCACAACCTAACCAATTCTAGCTGTGCAGTATTGGTCTGCTCTTGCACTTACCTATGGCATTCAGTTAATATCTGATTAGCTCTCTAATAATGGCCACATGCACAAGATGAAGGATAACCAATATGGCTGACTTTGTGTTAATGCCGGCAGCTGGTCCAATAGATATCATCAAATAGTTCGATTTTTCCTGTATTCATGACCGGTCTCTGACATTAGCAATAGTGATGAAAATGTTGTGCTACATACTGCTTATTTCTAGAGATCCTGATTTAGATGTCGTTTAGCTCTATGAGCATCTGTTAAAGCACCTCCTCAATAAGTCATTCTTACCACTGCTGATTTCAGGTAAGGGCTTAAAGGAGAACTATGGGGTTAGGGCTTTTCCACATAGTTCTCCTTAGGGTAACGGGAGGACAAAAACTAGCGTCCTCCCGTCACCCTAAGCCAGGGCAGCCATCAGGGGGGTACGGCCGATACTAATGTAAGGGGCCTGGGCAGCCTGCCCGGGTCCCTTACATGACTATCATATGACTGTGAAGGGCGAGGAGGCGGAGGCCTGCCCCTTGCAGCGCAGGGCCCCAGCATTGCCGCTCCAGCGGCTTTGAGACAAGCTAGGGCCACATCAGCGACGCTGCTCATCTGATTTCGGACTGGCTGGAAGTGACTTCTGGCCGGTCCGGCGGCAGACGAGGCCATGTGTTCAGGTAAGAGGAGCTAGGAAGGAAGGAAAGGAGGGAGGGGAGGGATGCAGCCCTGACCAGCCCACCTGAGACCCCTTCAGAGCCCACCATAGACAGTCTCAGATGGGCTGTGCAGCTACAGCTCGCGGTATACTGAGACGCCACAGCTGAAGCGAATCCCGACAATTATGTCTGGATCCGCCCAGCTGCGTGAGTGACAGCTGGCTCTGCCTATCTAGAGGCAGAGCCAGCTGTACCCGCCCACGTCCGATTCGACTGTCAGTGCTGGCGGATCGGAGCGGGGAGGGGGGAATCCAGCCCCTCCCCTGTCACGGCAGAGAGGGATGTGAGCGAACGCCGGTATGTGTTGGCTCACTTCCCGATCTACTGAGCCGACCTGTGACAGTCTTATTGTCACAGATCGGCTAGAACTATGAGGTGAGTGAAAAGCACTCACCTCATAGTTCTCCTTTAAACTTCCAACAAGCCTAAGTTACCCCATTGACTTTAATGAAAACAGGGCTGCAAATCCCCCCTCTGTAAGAAATCTCAAAGGATGTAACTCTACTGGAAAACATTTTTAAGGGCAATTTGCATAAACACTACATGCACAACAAAATATATATCTTTGATAACTGTAAAACTTACTTTTATTTGAGAAATTAATCCCTGCAAATGCTTGTCATCTTCAAACATAGTACTTAGACTAGGCCCTTCTCCACAAGTCTTTTCCTCCAACTTGTTATTAATAATTGGCTGAGTAAAGGCATCAAAATAAGAGTCTGGGACAAGGTTGGCTAATGACAACACTGTTTCTTGAAACTGCTGAACAACATTTGCAAGGCTGTCCTAAAAGTAAAAGGTAAATTAAAATTAGGAAGTGCA